ACAAATAACAGGAGTACATTAAACATAAATAATTCAATCGGACCCATAAACTTCATTCCCTCTTTCATTAATAAAGTGTGTAGCATCTATGTAGGTTGTGTTTAACTGTCCTGATAAATTGGTCACTGGATCAGGGGTTTCCATTGATTGAGCCTGGTTGAAGAAATTGATCTCGACACCATTCTCTTTGAAGGAGGCTTGATACAGCTCCACCAGATGTTTTGGGGTGCGACAAGTACGCGTCCAATGTCCGTTGCCACCACACATATGGCAAACTCCTTCAGGATTTCTAGGAGTGTTCATATGAGCTTTTCCTTTCTGGTGATTTGCATTTTTAAAGCTCGGGCCTGGATTATACCTTGAAACTTGGTTGTGAAACTGGTTGTGAAACTGAACACTATGGTTCTTGCCTTTCCTTTTCCACCGGCCTTGCTTGTGGCCACGTCATCGTTTGTAATTATTGCCACGGGAGGATATGATATTCCTTTCAAGGGAAGCAGCACTCACTTCTGGGAACGATGTTGATCCAGTAGGTCGGGAATTATGGTTTTTCATCAGGAGCTTATTATTCTGTTTAGCTACCAGGAGCACATATATCAACTGGTTGTATTCAGTGAAGCCTCGCGCTCTATACTGCTGCTGCAGTACCATGTTAGAGGCGTGGAATGTGCTCAAAGTCTTTTCCAATAACATCTACTCAGTAATAGTATCCTCACAGAGCTTCATCTGAGAGGTAATTCTGAACAACTTTGAATTGTACTCAGCCACTGACTTGAAATCCTGGATCCTTAGGTGAGTCCAGTCAGAACGAGCTCTTGGAAGAATTATTGTTGTCTGGTGATTGTATCTGCTTCTCAAGGCATTCCAAAGGGCTAACGGATCTTCAACTGTTAAACACTCGCTCTTTAGTGCCTCATCAAGATGGAGACGAATAAAAATCATGGCCTTTGCCCGATCTTGAGAGGTTGAGCTGCTCTCTTCCTTGATGGTATATCCAAGATTCGCTACTTCCAGATGAATCTTGGTATCCAATACCCAGGTAAGGTAATTCTTTCTAGTAACGTTCAGGGCAGCGAAATCAAGCTTTGCCAAGTTTGCCATTTTCTTTTCTGAAAGAAAAATGAGGTGTGTAAGAACTTGCAATAATATGTGTTCTGGAGGAATATATTGTTAGAACTTCTGGTTCTTACAAATTTTGATCTTTAGGCCAAAATGATAAGTACTCAAAACTTTAGGCTTGAGATTTACATAATTAATGAGAAGGGCAATTGTACCGCACCATTCTCATTGAAACAAGTACAGGAAGGACGATTATTCCGCACTACTTTAAATAGAAGGAAAATTTAAATATATAGAGTAAGGTGGACGATTATACCGCACCACTTTAAATTGCGATAAAATTTAAATATGTAAAGCAGGGTGGGTGATTATTTCACACCACCTAAAATTGCGATTGCAATAAAATTAAATATGTAAAGCAGGGTGGGTGATTATTTCACATCACCTAAAATTGCGATAAAATTAAATAACATGCAAATTTAAATATGCACGATAGGGCGGGCGATTATACTGCTCCACTTAAAATTTGCAGTAAAATTAGATCTGCAGTCCAAGATAGGCGATAGAACTGCACAATCTTGGATTGCATAAATAATCAGTGGGTTAGTAGTCAATATCTACATCAAACAAGAAATCAAAGATATAAGTGACTGTTAGTTGGAGAACTAGAATTAAACATGGTGCAAACAGTTCTTCGCGAGGGTATACCCAACAAGCAATTGAGGCAGAGGAAGAAGAAGAACAGTAAAAACCTTAGAGGAAACATTTTTTTTCCTTTCGGTGAAGGGAAATGAGAAATGATTAGAGAGTCATGCTGATAACGTGTTATAAATAGGCAAAATTTAGAGAGATAACCTTTACTCGGGACAGGAACGAAGCAGTTGCAGAGTATTATACCAACACAAAATGTTGCAGAGGAACTAATGTATATTATTGCTATTAGATGTTTTCTCTTCCTTTTCTCTCCTTAATGTTCTCTTCATTTGAACAATCTAAGTGCTCTATTTATAGAGCCACTTCAATGGAAACTTACAAAACTTACTATTCACATGTGATACTTTATTATATACATTACTATATACATGTGGTACTTAACTATACACATGTGGGCCAACATACCCATTATTTACAACATTCACTTTGTTTTAAAAAAAAGATGACTTCTGTTAGAAGCATAGGCTTAAACTTTTATTTTAAGCTAGACATATGAGATCCGACCTACTTTAAAACAAGAAAAAATAAACTTATTATAGATTGACATACATCAGTTCTTTTCTTTGGATTTATAAATATAGAATTTAACATTTTTGCATGGATTTTTTTTTTAGAATTTAGGACCACTAATTCATAAGTTCACATAACATTTAATATGTGTTATTTCTAAATTTCTATGAATGAGAATTTCAAAATAAAAAATACAAAAAAACCTCAACTATGAGTGGCCACAAGTGTCATCATCACTATCGCGGATCTCATCACCACCACATGTCGTTATGGCCCCTGTCTCTACCACAACCATCACCGTCGTTGCCACCACCCACCAACATTATCATTGTCACCACCTCCACTACTATTACATTTCATAACTGTTATCTTTCATTTATATGTTAATGAGTCTTACACACATATTGAATACTGTATTCAAATTTCATTGTTCTTTTATGTTAATAAAACAATAAAAATCACAAATTATGGAAAATAATATTTTTTTTTGTTATTTCCGTCACTTTGGAATTCCTTAGTAATTCTAAATTTCCTCATCCAAACACTATATTAAGGAATTGAGACCAAATTAATAAGGAATATACTAAAATGTTAGATGAAGAGGATTAGAAATGTCTTTAATGAGTATATTACAAAGGTATTTGAGAGGGATTTGCAAATTCCTACTTAAGTGTCATTTATTAATCTATCTCACATGCCTTTGTAATGCTCGTGAAGGGCATTTCTAATCCTTTCTATCTAAATTTTTATGGTCTATTCCTTACTAAGTTAGCCTTAGTCTTTTGGGACTTGGAAATCCCTCACCAAACATACCTTAACAAAAATACTTGGTTCCTTACATGTAAAGAGTCATTCTTCCTTACATGACGACATGATATCATTTCATCGTACAAACTTCATTATATAAGTCATTCATTATCTTTATCTTCATATAAAGATCATGTCTATAAAAATTGATATAACTTGGAGAGCAATTAGTCGTTCATATATGTTGAACAAATCTACAATTATTGCAACCACTAATATCATCATGATTAATCATCGACTTGATTGATTCATAACTACACTCAATGATCACCAAGTCGAATAAAATTTTCCCGATAAATAACTTGGATTGAACATACAACAATTAGCATTTCACCAAACATATAACCTCCAAGTGTGTTTTTCACAATCCAATGATCAAATATGTGTTTAATTAAAAGCCGAATCATATGTATACCACAAGAGACCTCTAAATCAATTAACAAAAAGCACTTAAAGAATAATGATTCGAATCTAAGTCCTCTCTTCTTTCACCTCCTTATCAGAAACAGAAGGTGGTTCAAACATGCTAAACACCCTATAAGCTGAGATCACAGCCAATACAAGAAAGCAGCAAAGAGCCAGGGCGTGGAGAACCAATGCCACCTTCATTCTGTTTCAAAAGCGCCTTTTGCTTGGGTGTGGTAGGTGAGATGGGCACTGGGCAGAAATGCGCTCGTGCTTTACATTTTTAAAAGCCTTTAAAAAAAAAAAGATGATTTCTTTTTTGAAACATAGGCTTAAACTTTTATTTTAACCTGGACACATGAGATCCGACATACTTTAAAACAAGAAGAGAAAAATAAACTTATTATATATTGACATACATCAATTCTTTTGTTTGGATTTATAAATATAGAATTTAACATTTTTGCATGATATTTTTTTTTAATTTAGAAACTCTAATTTACAAGTTCACATAACATTTAATATGTGTTATTTCTAAATTTCTATGAGTGAGAGGTTCTAAATAAAAAAATACAAATAAATAAAAAACTCAACCATGAGTGGCACAAGCGTCATCATCACCATCACGGATGCTGTCACCACCACATGCCTTATGGTCCTTGCCGCCGCCATATCCATCACCATCACTACCATGACCCACCATCATTATCATCGTTGCCACCTCCACTACTAGTACATTTCATAACTGTTCTTTCATTTATATGTTAATGAGTCTTATACACACATTAAATTCTATATTCAAATTTCATTGTTCTTTTAGGTTAACCAAACAAGAAAAATCACAAATTATGAAATATATATATATATATTTTTTTTTAATTTCCATCGCTTTGGAATTTCTTAGTAATTCTAAATTTCCTCATCCAAACATTATATTAAGGAATTGAGACCAAATTAATAAGGAAGAGACTAAAATGTTAGATAAAGATGATTAGAAATGTCTTTTATGAGTATTACAAAGGTATTTGAGAGGGATTTGCAAATTCCTATTTGGGAAGTGTCACTTATTAATCTATCTCACATGCCTTTGTAATGCTTGTGAAGAGCATTTCTAATTCTCTCTATGGTCTATTCCTTATGAAGTTGACCTTAGTCTTTTGGGACTTGGAAATCCCTCACCAAACATACCTTAACAAACATACTTGGTTCCTTACATGTAAAGAGTCGTTCCTCTTGACATGACGACGTGACATTATTTCATCGTACAAACTTCATAATATAAGTCAATTCATTCTCTTTATCTTCATATAAAGATCATGTCTATAAAAATTGATATAACTTGGAGACCAATTAGTCATCTATATATATCGAACAAATCTACAATTATTGTAACCAATAATATCCTCATGATTAATCATTAACTTGTTTGATTTATAACAAGTGATCACCAAGTCGAATAAAATTTTCCCGAGAAATAGCTTGGATTGAACATACAACAATTAGTATTTCACCAAACATATAACCTCCAAGTGTGTTTTTCACAATCCAATTATCAAATACGTGTTTAATTAAAAGATGCATCATATGTATACCACAAGAGACCTCTAAATCAATTAACAAAAATCACTTAAAGAAAACCCATCTAATGATTCGAATCTAAGTCCTCACTTCTTCCACCTCCTTATCAGAAATAAAAGGTGGGTCAAACATGCTAAACATTCTATAAGCTGAGATCACAGCCAATACAAGAAAGCAGCAAAGAGCCAGGGCATGGAGAACCAATGCCACCTTCATTCTGCTGCAGAATTTCCCATAAGAAGTGCAGGCTTCACTCCAAGAGACTGTCCTGTCCCCTTTGTAAGCTAAAGACAATATCTCCATCACTGCTGCCCCAGATGTGACCATTAGATAAGCTACAATCTGCACCCAAAATTTGAAACAAGAAAGAAATATATTACACAAAATGATCGTTGAGACATTTTTGGTCAAATTTGAGACATGTGAGCTTGTTATTAGAATTTCAAAATAAAACTAAAGATTATACTTTTATCAAATATAGGACCAATATTGTGCTTAATTAGTGGGCTAAAACATTATGATTATGCCTTCAACACAAAGCAAGACAACAAACACAATTTATCTTTAAAAAACTCTATTGTGAGTGTATCTATTTTTCTTTTCCCAAAACTTTCAAGAGAAATAAGCACAAATAAAAACTTTTAAACAGACAACAAAAGGCACTAAATTTATCTTTAAAAAACTCTATTGTGAGTGTCTATCCAGTTCTATTTTTCCTTGAGCGTTTGCAACCGGTTTTATCTATGCATGTGTGTCAATTGTCAAACACACACCTCCTATTTTTTTGTCTAAAAGCCAAGTGAAAAAGAAAAGAAATTGAATGGGGCCAAAAGGAAAAAGAAAATGAACCTGGTCAGAGACAAAGAAAAGCCAAGCTTTAGTCGCAAAGCATCTGATCCATGAGGACAAAGCTGCAAGAAAAGCATACACACCAGAAATGGTACTGATGAAAACCATGTACCTGCAGAAACAAAGACACTTCAAACGTCAATCAATAACTTAAAAATATAAACATCAAAGCAACGAGCTTGCAGCTTAGTTGTTTAAGAACATTCACTCATGCACCCGAAGTCCTGAGTTTGAGTCCCCCGGATTTCAGTATTGCTTGTATCAAAAAACAGAAACAGTAATTATCCAAGTAAATGAATGGAGTTGTTACTTGAGGCCTATGAAATTGGAGAACTTTAGGTTGCCATAGCTGGGGTTGTCTTGGTGGTTGGTGACAGTGAGCCAAACGGTTGCAATACTGAGAGGAATTACAAAAATCCTGAGGGAGGAGTCTATGAGCTTCAGCAACATGTTTGCAGGTAATGCAAGAGCAGCAGCAACATGAAACCCTTGGCAGGCTTGGCTGGTCTTATATTATACGAGTGTGTGGGAGGGTGAGATGAAGATGTTGGTGAGACTAAGACTAAAATGGTAATGTGGTAATAAATACAAAACATTTGAGGAAGAAGTTAGATATAACTAATGTACCATTACTTTGCTTTCCTTTTGTTTTGGAAAAATCATCAATGTGGATTTATTGGTCTTGTTATTATGATTTTTTTTGTATTAAATAAATAAATAATGTTTGGGTGACAAATTAGAGCTTTAGTTCTTGAATTAAAGATATGAGACTATTCATTTCTAAACTTATCATAATGTGAAGCAGTGATCCTTATAAGTAATGTTGTTAAAACTTTCGTCCAAAATGAAAGGTTTCAAATAGAAAACGGAAGTTCTAAGAATCACTCAAAACAACTAATATTCCATGTTATGACAATTTCAAAGACTAACCTTCACTAACTTTTTTTTTTTTAATATTTTATAAAGCTACAACTCCAATTGAATCAAATTTTAGAAACTGATGCTCCAATTTTTCGGTGCGGATGGTGTCCTTGTTAGTGGGAAGAGGAAAGATAGTGGGGCTTTGCTTTTTCAGTGCAGCTGCAGCAAATCATGTCATGACGTTATGATGAATATCTAGAACAGGTGGCGTGGCGGATTAAAAGTAGATTTGGCTGTGCTTTTAGAGAAAATGTTTACCCTAATCATAAGTGGACAGCAGAACAATTTTGGTCATCATCTTTCCTTGTAATGGAGTATTACTAGATTATCATATATAGTTTATGTGAGTAGATGTGAGTAGAGATAGATACAAAACGCTGTTTTCGACATTTCAACAACTACAAATCCACCCTAAACATGATCTCACCATGACATGTTTGATCTTTAAACTCTTATCTGCTTCTTTTACTTTTTCTATTAGCTTTCTTTTGCAGTGGAAAACATGATTTCCTCAAAGAGCCACCAAGAATGCTCCAAGTGATGGTGAAGAACTTATACGCAACGTGTTCACACTCACTGAAGCGTTCCAAGTGATTTATACAAGGTTACATGGTCTTGTATTAGTGACCAAAAGCGCTACGAAAACAGTGAACCTATTTCCTAAAAGTTTCAATTAATAATAACAACTTAATGACTTCTCCTGCATTTTTTTTTTTTTGGTAAATTTCTCCGATCAATATGGTTGAGTTTTGTCACTTAATAAGTTAATTTGCCTTTGGTCACTTAATTCACCTACTCAAATTCACTGCAGTCTGGGGGAGGTGGATGGGATATAAATATGGTGAGTTGCATTTGGTACAGAATGTAATTGCATATGAGCACATCAACTGAGTCAACTAGTCAGTGGTCAGAGATGCCACATTGAAGCTTCATCACAAAGGAAAGAGATCATAAACATTTCTTCTACAACATGAAAAAAAAAATAGAAAAAAATTCTAACAGGCACTTATTCTGGAACTTCATTAACATTGGAAGACTTACAATACAAATGTTCCCGGAAGCAATCAAAGAATGATTTTAACGACAATCTATCACCTCTTTCAAGTTTCGATATTGGGTATCTCACTCCTCGTCTAAAATGGAGCAGAATCCAGGGAATAGGACAGCTACTACCGTCGTGTTGCAAAAAATTTCTGTGTGGATTTTTATGATACAAGCTCATGCCATTTACATTTTCCTCCCGAGTTTGGAAGAACTTTTTGTCAATTAGAAAGCTGCATTCCAGTGTTAATGAACTTTTTCCTCCCGACATTCACCTCTCTCAGACCCTGCGTAAAGCGGGAGCCTTGTGCACTGGGTACGACCTTTTAGAAAGCTGCATTCCACAAAGCATTCTCACCTTCTCCACAGCGCCTGTGGACCTCCTTGATCCTCTCCGAAGACTTGCAAATCCCACTGCAACTCCAATCGAATGAAGCAACGCAGATGTTGCCTGCCTGAGCCTTCCACTCACAATCTGTGGTAACAATTAACAGCGTTAAACCCATAACTATGCGCTATGTCATGATAATATTTATTCCTAGCTTGAACTACCATTAATTAACCTTTCTTCCAATTTTGTTTTCTTTGTAATTCTGGACATGAAAACTTATCACGCATGAATGCGTAAACCCACACAAAACACACTGAACCAGACTAATAACATTGAATAGCACCATAGGAATTAACACAGGCGTCTCTCACCCATGTTATTTCGCACATCATCAACCCTGACCTTGAAGTCTTTTAGACGTAAGTCATTTGAGAATATACATCGTAAATGTAAGTGAACTCTACTGGTAAGAAATGCTAAAACAATCGCAGGATCCGAACTAAGATCTCATGATATCTTAGATGAGCTGCTAGCCACCATGATCACGTGTGTATTGCAACTGGTATCAGCTAAACAATAAGTGTAGCAATTAAGGGGCTGTAATCAACCCATGAAACAACTCTAAATGCTCTGGAAGGTAAAGTTGATCTGACATTTCAATGAACAATAAAATGACTGATAACTCCCCATGGGGCACAGCTACGCCTTATAGCATGTAAGCCAGTTTATGTCACGACCCCCCAACTATGCCCATTCCCGGCCTGCTACATAGTTAAAAATGTGTAACCAAAACAAATAATTCAACTTGTTTACCATAGGTGACAAAAATAAACACGACCATATGAAGCAAAGAATATCTTGGTCATCTATTGCCACTCTTAAGTAACAGAAACACAATGTTGGAGCTATGGAACATGTAACAGCCCATGTCATGCAAATGTTTGGCACCCGAACTTTTTGTCCCCAAAACTATTGCCATTGGAACCTCATTAAGACCAAGCAAGTTAAAAAAAAAAAGGGGGAAAAAACAGATGGATATGAGATTACCAGGTGGTGTTCCACAACATAATCTCCGGTCATCAACCTGCTCCACGTCCAATCCAATGAACCACGATCCCAAGGAAACATCCTCATTCACATACTTGTGTAGCACATGCCTAGATGATTAGCATAACATTAGAAATAAGTAAAGGGTAGACATAATTTGAGCAGAAGGACTTCTACTATAAAGAATACGGAAACATACTGGTTGATTGATATGTAAGTAGCCAAATCTTTTGAGATGGCATAAAGCTGGCCTGTGGCATGACGGAAATACTTGTTCCCTTCCTCACCAAATTTCCAATACTCAGGCTCATGATACCTTACTCCCCTGTCAATAAAAAAAGTAAGGTAAGGGAGAGAATGCCAAAAAGGTCCTGCTGGAAGAAATAAATTAAGCGTGCACAGCTCACTTTTGAGCAAGGACGGGACCAGATTTCATGCATCCAATATACACCCTCGGCTTTGGTCGATGCCTAGCTAAAGTTGCTCCAAGTGTTCCTGTAATTATATATGATGAATGAAATCAACATTGAGAGAAAAAAGGGAGAATGATAACAGCAAAAATTATTACACACAAGCTGGAGATCAGAATGTGCCAGTAAAAATGCCAGCACTAGTGACTCCTTAAACAGGACTGATTTTGCCATTTTGGATGTGTTCCAGAAAAGCCAATTTCCAGTTTGTAAACATTGAAAAGACATATTTTGAACAGAGAAGCCTGATGATTATATACCTATATTTACATGTACATCATCGTCAACTTTAACATAGAAATCTGCATCCCATGAAGCAACAGCAGTGGCAAAAAATATTTTTGTCTTCGCTGACAATTCAAGATAGCCCTCAACATGATCCTGCTTTCATCAAATTTATGAAGACAAAATCAATTAGCTTTTTCTGAGACCAACACATTACGAAGATACCTCAGATGCCAGATAAAAAAAAGATTAACTGAACTAGCTGAAAAGACAAAGGCTTTACCAGCCGCATAATGTCACCGTGCCTGTTCTCCTCTGCTTCAATAGCTCTATCAAGGATACCACCTGATGTAGCACTAGCAATGGATAAAAGAAAAAAAAATCAGGTTTTATTTGTTTAAGAAAAGGAAAATATTTCAACGTTGGGGTGACCATGTATGATAAAATAAAAACGTAGACAATCGAGGGTAAATCATGTGAACATTAACTTTGAAAGACAGAATAAATGTTAAAGGTTTTTATTTGTTTAAGAAATGCAGGAGTCAAAATAAAATGTGTACGTATGCATATAAAGACCTATAACAGAAACATTGGAGCTGACAGTAGTCTGGCATTACTATTGCTTTACATGATGGAGAGTAGGATTATGATGCAGGTGGTGGAAGGGAGGGGAAAATAAATTCACAATTCTAAGACACCTAACAATCGGAGAACAAAAAATATTGAACTCTATCAAAATAATTTCCAAAATGTTTCTAATAAAAAGTGCTCCAAGTAGATTGTTGTTTATCCCATGATAAAGATCCCAATGGGATAGAGTCAAATTCCACGATATTCTACTGAAAGACTGACGCTTTCATGAAATTTATATCAGTTAAAAAACTTAAAACAACAAATCAAAAGTAAAACCAATATATTTGAGCTCAAATACTCACCTGTGACCTATTACAAACCGAACTACAATGCCCTTTTCTTCCTCAAGCTTCTTTCTTTTATCGGCTATATAGTAAAGACAAAGTGGAAAGGAAATGTCAGAGGCATTCACATATAGTTAGAAAATATAAAGAAAGCAGGTTATCGATAAAAAACCTTGAGGCATCCAAGTAGCACGAACTGAATCCCTGCGCTTTCGACTGCTAAAAGCAGTATTTATTCCCACAACCATCAAATATTTTCTTTTCTTTCTTGTCTTGGGAATTTTTAAATTTTCTGCAACTGGTGAACCACTTAGAATAGATTCCTGCGCAGCCCTTGCAGCAGCTAATTCCATCTCCAAATTTGAAATTTTTTTATCCAGCATGCTGCAAATTTTACGAGTCATAAGACAGAACATTAAGTCAACTTCAATAAAATGAGATGAGCTCCAGCATGGCTTACTGTATAGCACGATGAGTCTTTGAAACTTCCCCGTAAACATCCTTTGGTTCATTTTCTACATCCTTTTAAACAAAAAGAAAAGTAAAGATGAATAAACAAATAACGAAAAGGTAAAGAACCGGCTGTTTAGATAAATTGTACTTACGATTGTTGGATCACATCCAGAACCTAACTTTGGTGTTTCATCGTCAACCCTTGTTGTACTCGATATGTCTTCAATTTCAGGCACTGACCACATTCTGTTGGCAGAATTCATTTATTTTTTTATCAGTACACCACATGCGTGGTATTAAAGAAACTCTAGCATAAACGTGCTATATTCGCTTCTGATAAAGTGCAAAGTAATAACATGTTTTGATGGGAGTGTATGCCCATTCTCCTACGTTTTCCGGAAATGAGAAGCAAAGGGAGGGAAAGAAAAGGACTAGGGAAGGAGGGCGGGCGGTGCAGAAGGTGTTGTCGTAGTACTTAATGAAGAAGGGACAACAGATTAATCTCTTGAACAAAATAATTAAGACAAAACCTGATTACAAGAATGATGTCTGAATTGAAGCATTGCATCTGTTATATGAAATTCAGATCTATCCCAATCTCATCATTGCAAGGGACACAACAAACTTACCAATTCTGCCAAAAAAATAAGGGAACTCAACCAGGAAGCAGTTAATAACACTAAATAAATTTTAAACGAGTCTGTCATCATCATTAATCTCCACTTTGAAGATACTAACTAAACAATTAAAAAAATACAGCACTGATGCATTAATTACAAAAACCCAGAAAACGCTCAAAAATCCACCATCACTCATCATATTCAAAACCCACCAAGCCCCACATCCAGATTACAAAAATAATCCAAAATCCCAAATCTTTGAGCAAATTTAAGGATGGTAGAAAGCTACCCACTTCACCAAAACAATCATTTTCTCTGGGATTTCAAAGAAAAATCGAAGCTTTAAATATGTGGAAATTTAAATTATTTACCTATCAGAGAAGAGCATCCCAGCACAAAAGCAACCAATGCAAAACAAAAGGGTCCATTTCCGAGACACAAAAGCACTCTTCGATGCTTCTCCTTCTCTGCTCTTCCAAGACATTCTTCTCTCAAATCCGACCAATCAAAGATAAATCATTTACCAATCCCAAGTCAATGAAGTCAACGCACTCGTTTGACCCAAAATTCAGATCCAGAAATCCACGTTCCTTAAAAAACCAGGAACAGCCAAGTGGCTCCTCCGAGTGCTCAAACAATGGAGGTTCTGGTTTTGTCGGTGGGTTTCTGGGTGTTGTGTTTGTAAATTGCAGTTATAGAGAAGGTGGAGGTGCGTGGAGGTGCGTGGAGGTGAGAGAAAGGACCCAACAACCATGGCGTTTACCGACTCAAAATTACGTAACTGACCTTAACAAACATTTCATATTCAATTTTATGTCCCAAGTTGTACGCTTAGTTTTCCATACTTTGATACGACTTCTTAACTACCCTATGATCTGTGGAAGCATTTCTGCCCCAAAATATTGCAGACCAATTCCACTTGAGACTGAGAGTCTTGAGTCGTTTTTTGGCCTGATATAGAAGGTCTATGAGTGGATATAATAAGTTTGCCAATTACGAGAAAAACTTATATGAAACCGAGTGGATATAATATTTTTCTTTGTCTCGCTTGGCTAGGGTTCGAGATGGCTGCATTTATTCTTGGAGAAAGGGAGAAGGGGATTTTATTCTTTAGAGCCCCGTTGAGACCCTATGAAAATTTCTTTCAATTGTGTTAGTGTTTTGGTTGGAAAGGTCTTTACTCATAGTTTCTGTGATAAGTCAATTACGAGGAAGACTTACGTGAGAAGTCATGTGATGATAGAGATATGTAAAAAAATATGTTTACTCCTGATAAATAGGTGATTAATATTATTAATTTGTTGATGACACAAGACAGATAAATAAATTTTCAGTGAAGTTACTCATTGTAAGTTAAAGCACGCTAGCATTAGTAAACTTTTCTGGTCAATTAAATTGCTGAAACATTGCGTAAACCTTAACAAAACATATATAAGAAAAGGTCGGCACAGTACACAGCAATGGAAACAAAATTTGAATTAGGTTAAAACTGTGTTGTAAATTATTTTAAATTATTTTATGTCATCATATAATCACGCGATAATGTCTAGACAAACAATATACTTCTTGAACTTGTAAAAAATAATTACTAAATAATAACACTATTGAGACTAAAATTTAGTTGCATACGAAAGTCTGACGTTCTAAATCCCAACTACCATTACACACCAGAAGGGAGCATGCACACGTGGAGGACGTGTAAAGAACATCAAGATTCAAATAATGGATTTTACAGATCAACAGACCCCAACAAATGAATTGCCAATACCTGCAACTATGCGAGGGCGTTTGTGTAGGGTTGTAACCTTCTTTTTAGGGTCGTAATGATTAATCGGAACCTCGAACTTTTGTTTAGATTCATAAATCATTAAGTCCTAATCCTGGATGCATGTCTTTAAGACAAAGACAAGTTCATAGAAAGCTACGTACCTTCTATTTCTACCTTCCTCTTTTGCCCTTTCCCTTATTCCCATTTGGTAATTGCAATGCTATTGCTATATGATAAGCGTTGAGGATGGATTATCTCTACAAAAGATTAGCCAAATTGAAGTGATGAGATATAGGTCGTTGAGAATGACTACAAACTTGGGAGTCGAGTATGAAAGATTGGAGCGTACTTGGGTTAGGCATCGGTCCATCTAATCCTCGAGACGATATCGATCAAAGTATGTCACACGCTAATTATCTAATAGATAGTGATTATTTAAAATTCGTGAATACTTCAATATTATTCTTTTCACAATTAAAAAGCCAACTGAACAATGGCTTCTTCTTCATGTGTGGTAGTAGCGGTAAGCGACGACAACAATTGTTTTTCTCTCTCTTTTTTTTTTCTCCTCTTTATTTCTAACCTAGGCTCGTAATGCCAACTTAGAATTCATGAATGGTTCACTGTTATTCTTCTCATCACTTGAAGGAAATGTGAATAGTTGTACAGCCCTAGCCACAATTAATGCATAAAACTTATCATAAAAAGAAATCTCGGTAGAATTAATTACAATATTTACATTCCTATTCTAACATTATTATCCATTTTGTGTTTAGATCGACAAGTCACATGTCACAACCATTCATTTCATTACAGAAACAACCCTTCTTACCCATGTTTTTTTCTTCTTATTTCAGTGGTCTACGATATGCACCCTCACCCTCAGGTTAGGTGATAGGGAAACAAAAGGAGCCACACAAAACTCAGTGACAAATTAGGCAGAGTATGCCAAATACTTAATTGTGAGGCCTCCGCTCTCAGTCTTTGAGCCCATGCATGCCACCCTGACAACCACCGCGCCAGCCTTGTGCCGGGCCACGTGTGAGCTGAGCTCGTAGGCGGCCACCTCACCGCTACTAAGTAAACAAGCCATAAAGCTGCTGCTGCTGCTGCTGCCTTGCACCGTAAGCATGCTGTTAGCTTTCATAGTTCCATTCATGAGTACATCTGCCCACCTGTCCGTCCTTCTAGCCCAAGACAAGGTCCAGCCCCATAGTTCTGGTTAAACCGCTAAGTCAATGGATCCGGCCTAAGCCGATTCAGACCATTTTTGTGCTACACGCGTGTGTAGCTGTAGTGAGAAGCAAATAAAGAAGTTGAGAAGTTTGTGAGAATGATACAAGCATTTTTAAATAGTTGAAGAAAATGAGATAGAAACAAATGATGAAGGAATGAGAAGTTTGGCACTCAAGGAATTAGAAATTTTCCAATGAAGAAAAGCTTGGCAAGGCTGAAGCAATATCTAGTTTTCTTCATGTCTTAAACCTTTGATGTCGATACATATAGAAGGACGAAGATTGTTTATTCTATTGATATTCATAATTATCAGTCGATGTGAATAGTATAATAATTTCATTGCATGCGTGTATTTATCGTGGCAAAGCCGCAACATATAAGAACATTGAAATAGTCATTCATTAATCTTTTGTGAATATGCAATCCGGCCCCAATGTTTCTTATGTTTCTTTTGATAGTTTTAAACGAAAGTGGTCAAGTTGTTTGACGAATGCAATAATAAATTACAAAAAGTAAAGGCACACTTGTCTATATTTTAATTCCATAAGTATGTCAATCACACTGTTATAGTAGCAAATTTCTGACTTTTTTTTTACACGTGTGGACGATTGTTTTTAAAAATACTTTATAAGTAAAGATATGAACTAAGAAAAGAAAGTTAATTTTCCTATCCTCACATAAGCAAATATGTCGACAGACCAGTGGTGTAAAGTGCAGACAAAAAGTAATAGATTAAAGAGGATTAACAGGGGAAGTTCGCACTACACATTAGAGCCATGCATGTGAACCCTATTGCTAGTCCATATATGGCTGCTAAGTTTGTTTGTATGTAATGTCCTAGTAAATATTCTATGTATTGTTCTCCAAGTGACCTGTAAAGCTTTATTTATTTCATTATTTGTTTATTTCTATCTCAAATTTTTATGGTTGAGTCCAAAATGATTATTATTATTTTCCTCTCCCAGATTTCTGTAGAGCTGTTATTTAAAGTAAAATAAGTAATCTCAATGACCATTGTTCTAAATTATAATATAGGAGTTTTAAAAGGTTTACCTAAACATTCCTTAAAACTCAACTCAAATCTCATTTAATTTATTGAAACTTAAAATTTGTTTAATTCTCTGAATCGCAACTCATTTCACTTTACCTCTTATTATCAAAATTCTTTAACAATTCCGTTACAAGTTTGGTGGCACTAATTGAACTTTTTGAAAGTGTCCCTAAAAAATGTTGTTAGAATTTCATTTTTTCTTATTTTGAAATGAAACTTTTGAATTAAAATTCTTATTTTTACTAATTGTTTAACCATATGGCACTTATGTGACACAAACCAACAACAATGGGTCTCATTTGTGCTACCTAAACGTTTTGACAAACTTATTAACTATTTTTGCAAATTGGGAGTGAGACACGAGTTGAGCTTAAGAGGATTAAGTAAGACTTAAGTTGAGTTTCAAAAGATGTATAATGGTAGGATGTGTTGTACAATTGTTGAATTATAATAATAAAAGGAATAATGCTAGGATGTGTTGCGCAAATGACAAGTATGAACATCCAAAATCAATTTTCGCTCGCGTGTAGGATTGATCATAGCATTTCTTAATCCAAGAAAGTACCCTTGAGATGATCATGATTTACTCATCAAAATTTGTAAAGAATGAAGAAAAGCAATATATTTTAGATCAATAAAGTGCAACCGCTCATTGCCCAATAAATTAAGAATAAGTGACCAGTTGGCATGCTTATATAATAAGAGTGGGGATGTTAAATTTAGGGACAAAATGTGACTCTTGGTCATAGGCCAAATGCCAAAAAGAGATATAATGGTTAAACAGTTAAAAAAAAACAAGACTAACATTAAGAGCAGAGAGATTAAAAAAGCTCATTGAAACTTGTTTTCTAGCTTAACCAGTCAGAGTCAGAGATTGCACCATTTTTATTCATTTTTTAAGAAATAAAACAAAAACAAAAATAAAGAATTAGATTAAATTAAATAATTAATACCATGAATTTGGTAACAGGTATCTTTCAATTCTCAGATTTATATGTGGTGAGGTCCTTCCTCCATATTTTTTAGGGGCCAAGGACATAGAGTAACAATATTTGGATGCATTCAAAGGGTAGAAGGCAACTTGCTTTGGAGAGATTATAGAATGGATTTACTGTGCTAAGACAGCATATTAATTCTTTTAGGGCTCAATTAGATTAATAGTCTTTGGGTGATAAAGTAGTCGAAAGATAACTTTTGTAATAAAAAAATTAGGCCTAAACTTTCGTGGTGAAGTCAGGATTTGGGCTCAAAATTAAAGTTTTGTCAACTCCCTGTTAATTGTTATCATGTGAGTCTCACGTGTGAAACTAAAAAGATAAAGTTAACCTCACATATATGGTTCCCGTGCTAACAATTAACGAAAAGTTAGCAAAACCTTTAATTTTAGACCTAAATCATAACAGATTTCACCATAGGGGTCCTAATTTTTTTACTACATAAACTATGTTCCGACTACCCTATTATCACGAGAACTAATAATCCAATTAGGCTTTTTTATCACTGAATAGAGGGTTGATGCATATTGATGTCATGCAATTATGGAGTAAGAGAAATTTTTAAGTTGCAATTATTGAGTAAGAGAACTCTTTTTTAAGTGTGGCCAGTGTACAAGGAGTTTTCTAATACGTCTTTGCCCACCTAACCTTATTACTTTTTTTTTTTTTTTTTTGGAAAAACCTAACCTTATTACTTAAATAAAGATAATATGGGGCCAAACCACGAAAATGTTTATATAATTTGAGCCAGTTTTGGCCACATATATTCATAAAGGGCGAACGAGAAACTAAAGAGTTTACAAGATAATGTTAGTAGCATTATGATATAATACTAAGGATAATCATTTTAATTCTGACAAAGTGATTTCATGATTTGTTGGTAAATTAATTAAACTCTTTCAATGGTCCAATTTTTACTCAACCAAAATACACGTAAATTGATAATACCATGTTATTTCTTTATCTACTTGGTGTTGTGCTTATGGTGTTTTGACCATAATTTTATAGAGAGCTGATTTTCACACACCTTTTATAGCTTTTCCCACACCCCTCTTTGTTCCAGGCCATCGGATTGAATAAATCAAACGAAAACAACGGACATGATTAGCCAGGGGTGTGTATAAAGCTATAAAAGGTGTGTGTTTATCATTTCCCTTGTTATCCTATGATAGCCTTCTTTTGGCCCAATCAAGATTTCCTAATAGAGTCTGAGTAGACATCGTACAATAATGACTCGTATACAAGAAATAACCGCCCATAAATAAGAGAATACAAACGAGACGCCACTCAAACGTACATCAAATAAGTAAAGGTCATATTATGATATTCAAAACCTATGGAAAATGGGAATTATGTGCAATTAAATTCATGGGGAAAGGGGAGATGAATTCCATGACAATTCTACAAACTTAAATTCGATTTTTTGCTCCCCTAAAACATGAACTACATGAAATTATCTGACAATAAAAAACCCTATACAATGACATGAAAATTATAACATGACCTTCATAATTTGCATTGGATGAGAGAAGAAGGCCTACAAAATATCATAGTGACTCAAGAAATCCAGTTTTTGATAAAACAGCATTCCTCACTTTGCTGAGATCCCTCCCTTTGAGGGTCCTCCCTGCACCTTCACAAACAGAAAAAGAAGAAATCTGACTCCTTGCAAGCCTCCTAGCAATAAACTCATGAGGGGGTTCCTTTGAATCATACTCCTCCTCCTCCTCCTCCTCCTCCTCCACCTCGTAATCATCACTGCTATCTCTGCCGCCATCATCCCTTCCTTCATCATCATCATCACCGCCCTCATATTTTCGCCAAGAAACATTCTTGGAGGCCTTGTTTGGCTTCTGACCGTACAACTTGGACCAATCAGGAATGTTGACAGGTGCTGATTGATGCACAATTTTGGCTTCATGATTGGTAGTATTGCTGCTGCTGCAGCTGCTACCACTGGCGTAATTGTGGCTGCTGGGTTTTGGAATCATTCTTGCAGCAGTTGGGAGGTGCCTTGCAACAGAAACATTGGAACTTTTGGATCCAGTAGCCATGTCTTTACTATTGTTTCTATCTTTTAGAACCTCCCAAATATCTTCTTCCTCAAAGTCTCCATCTCTCAAGGCCCTCCAAACTCCACTGCCCTGCCTTATTAGGCCATACCTATTGTCCATTGCTTATTATTCCCTGCCTACCTATCCACAGAAATTGAAATACCAAAAAAATGAATACAACTTGGAAACACACAGATTACTTTTTATGCGAGCGATATTTGAATCTAGTCAGAACTACGGATAGGGAGATTCGAACTCGGGTTCGGAACAAGATTATGTAGAGAGAACCTCAAAGATTACTTCAGAGGGTTTAAAAAGGTGTCTCAGTTGAGGGAAATAAGAATCTACCTTTCTGTGATTGAGAACCACCAGGCACAACTTTCCCAAGATTCCAACTAAAGGGACATCTCTGCAACATGGGAAAGCAAACATCAAGTTAAAGAGAGAGTTTCTGAAGATGATTTTCTTTTCTTTTCTTTTCTTTTCCCAGAAAATTGAAAAGCTCAAGGAAGAATATGGTTTTGACAAGAATCTTACCAGAGGGATGATTGAAAGAGTTCCACTCGGAAGGGGTAGAATTTATGGAGAAGTAAAGCAGCCACAGGCCCACAGGTGCTGAGGGGCAGTGGAAAAGTGGCATGAATAAGACAGACCGCCCTTTCGTAGGTCTCCCAGTTGATGGTTTTCCATGAATTTACTTTTGGTTCCAACAAGTTTTGACTTTGAATTCAAGAAGAAAGGTAAATAAAAACACAAAAAACAAAAAGAAAAGGAGAAGATATTCCTGGTAAGGGTGCGTGGTAGTAAAAGTCCTTGAACTTTACTTGATATTTAGTGTTTGTCGTCCTTATATTAGTTTCTCTCATCCTTCAACTTAAATATACGTTGCATGAATGGTCATTCCATCAAATCCTCATTTTCCGTCAAATTTAAAGGTATAGTGCTCTTTTTCATGCAGAAACAAAACCAATTTATTTTAAAAAGAGAACTGCTTGGCTCCTTAAGGTTAAAGATGAGTTGACTTCGTGGCCGTATTCACAAAAATTCGTGTTTATGATCAGAATTGTTCATATTATAAATTACTATGTAAAGATCATCTCGGCAAAAAACCAGTTAAAACTAAGATCATTTAGTCAATTCTTAAAGAGTTTCGATCATAAGTATAAAGCTCTGTGAATAAGTCACGACATATTTTAAGGAGGAGTTTTTCCTCAGGAACCAAGTCTTTCTCTTTAAAAAAAATTCTTATTTTGTGAATGAAATTCCTATTTTAACCCCCAAGCTTAACTTAATTTGAAAATTAACGAAGTTAACAAAAAGATTAAACTTGTGGTATAGATTAGGGACTTTGCTACAATGTAGCCTTCCTTGGTGAATATAATTTGGGCAGGAGGGATCTTCCCAGGTGATGCTATTTATTTATTTATTATTTGGAGAAAAATAAGCAAACAACTAAGTTCATCTTCAAAGAATATGTCAAATTTTAAACATAAAATTTAAATTTGAAGGCTAAATGTGGCACGTTGATCTTTTTAAAACTTTGTTTCCTACACAATATGTTAAATTTAAACTATTATTAATTACAAATTTACTTTTCATAATTGTGACTAGCATATGGGCACACACAAAGTGTGTGATAAAATTTTTTATTTTTGTTTTTGAAATAGAAGGAGAGAGGAAAAGAATGATGGAGAATGTGGGAGTGAGAAGTTTTTTTTTTTTTTTTTTTTTAATTAGAGATATGTTAGGATTCCATGTAGGTAAGGTTTTGATAAAAAATAACAAAATTTGGTTGTGTAAATGTCACGCCCTGATCCCGACATACTTCTAGGATCGACTCGTGACGTCACCAAGTATCCGTATCTAACATACCCCGCCTCCAGAATATGTACCAAGCACGCTCAAGCTTCAAATGGAGTAGTGATTTTTCATAGACTTTATGGTTGCATGTAACCTCCTCGTTAGACTGCATACGTACCCTCAATAGAGATCAAACCATTTGTAGTTCACCATTCATTACACTTCGACGTTTATCACAATACGTTAAAATCGAAAAGCATAGTTGTGGAGCAAAAAATAATCACAAGGCGACACGTGGATTTTTGGGTAAAAGAGGACAAAAATACCCTTGAGGCATATCGGGATTCCTACGCGCGATCAGCGGACAATCATCCGTCAATCAAGTCAAAAGTGTCCAAAATAGGTAACAAATTCAAAGATATTCTCATCCATCCTCATCTTAGGTAATTATTTTATAACCTACATAACATTCCATTTAAGTGAAGGTTTGGCTAATTAATGAATTAATTCCTAATTAATCCATTAATCACCAATTAAATCATCCATTACACCCTTAAAAATACCCAAGGGCAAACCACTCTTTCTTCCAAAGAGGGCCGGTCATGCTTTATAAGTAGGACTCAATTTTCTCTAAAAAGCTAGGTCCACACTCTTGCAAAACTCCAAAAACTCTCTAAATACTTTTTCTCTCTAAATTCTAACTTTGGCATCAGAGGTTCTTCGGCCAAAGCCCCCCGCATTCATCGTGGGCGCGTGAGGCTCTTGACCTTGACCCTAAAGTGTTAATTGTTTTGTAGGTGCAATTTTGTCCAAGAAGAAGAAGGCGGAAATTTGCATCCACAAATTGGTGCTTTCATTGAGAGAAGAGTCACACACTCGTAGAAGACTCCCACATCAAAAGGTTTTTCTATTTTCTTGTCCATTTGTAAATTTTTTGTACGTTCTTATTATTAGAGTTTTTTATTTGCAAAGATTTTTTTGTTAAAATGTAAAAGAGAAATACAATGGCTAGAAATTTAGAAAATTCCACAAGTGAAAATTTCAATATTCAAGAAATGGGACCATAGTGATCCACGAGGCTAAATGTGATTATAGCAGCAACCATCGCTACGGGGCTCCACCATGGCAACCACCGCGGTGGCCACCACGGTCACCACTACTCGCGGCGAGGTCTATGGCATCGCTACCACGTCCCGAGCCGTGCCATCCAAGGCTCACGGCACCAAGGCCACGACCCAAGCCATGTCACTCCAAGCCCAATGCGAACTCAACGCATTGCCAAGCCGAGCCCAAGCCTCGCACCCATGTGCATCACACTCTGAGCAGTCCACTCTCGTGACATAACCTGCTTCCGTGGCCCAGCCTGCTCTAGCCGAGTAGCCCACTCTTGTGGCCCAACCTGCTTCTGCGGCCCAGTATGCTCTTGTGGCCTTCCAAATAGCCCAAATCGATCCAAGATTAGTTCAACTATCCATGCTCCAAATTTCCAGACTGACGATCGAACCAGGAGCATTTTCACCATATTTTTCGGCAGATTTGGCATTTCCCAACTCAAATCTCGCGCCCAGAGTCTACCACATTTTCACTGCTCAAGAAGACGTATTCATTCCAAGCTATTCTAACCCAAATGGAGAACAACACTTGTCTCGACAAGTCATAGAGTTAACGAGCGCCCTCGCACAACAGACGACCTTGGTGAACCAGCTCTTGCAGTGCACCGAGATGCAACGTGCCCCATACGAGGTGTCCCGAAGTAGGACAAGGGCAGACAAAGAACATCTCAAGCAGCGTCCCGGCAAGCAGTCACCCGACCAACCATGAACCAAGCATTCAGGCAGTGTACATTCCCGATTGGGCCCCCGAGACAGCGTATACTCCAGTCTTAGAACGCGGAGAAGCGTGCACTCTCGATTAGGCCCACAAACGAGCATACATTCACATTTGGGGTCACACTTCGATAGTCAACATGAACAACCTTCCAGGTGAAGTGTTCATTCGCGGCTAAGCCCGCAAAGAGCATCATTCACCTCACATCGAAGTAGGCAGCACGACGGACGGAGAGAAGCAGTCACTCAATCCGGCTCAAGTTTAACCGGCAGCCTGTGAAGAACTTGCTCGCCTACTAGGAACGCGCTACACGCACTGCATCCATGGCATAGACGAGACAAACACATGAAAGAGCAGTTTAGACCAGCAAGTCACGGTTGGGGGCAGCCGAGCTTCATTACCTTAACAAAGGTAAATTCAGAAAGAAGTAGAAAGACTTTTGACCAAGCGATTGCGCAATTTCCAATGCAACGAGGTCACCGACGAGGCACTACGATGGAACATGACCAACATAAGCAGGTTACCCTTCATGGATGAAATCGAGCATGCAGAGCCTCTATGCGAGTTCAGCATGCCACATTTCACATCTTTCAAAAGGGATGAAGACTCGGAGAGACATTTAAAGCACTATCGAAGCGCAATGATCCTTTATCGAAATAATGATGATCTCATGTATAAGATATTCGCCACCACTCTACAAGGCGAGGCGCAAGATTGGTTCTACACCCTGCCGCCACAATCCATTCGGAGTTTTGACATACTATCTTTGGTTTTCACCAAAGAATATTCATCATATCACTCGATCAAGAAGAAGTCCAACCACTTGTTCAACGTCAAGAAGAACCCAAAAAAGTTGCTTCGCGACTATGTGAAGAGGTTCAAAGTAAAGAATGCAAAGATAGTCGGATGTAATGACTCGATAGCTAGAGTAGCCTTCCAAAAAGGACTTTCAGCAGACCACCCACTATTCAAAAAACTAATATTGAAAGAAGATCTAACTCTGGCAGACTCTTTCGCTCTGGCAAAAAAGCATGCACTTTGGGACGAAGTTCGCCAATGCCCATTCAAGGTAAATCCGAGCGATCTTAAATATGAAGTCCCCCACTACTCTGAAGGAGATTCAAAGTCTGACTGGACGAGCAGCCACATTTGAAGCAGCACCATCATACGAGAGGAGTTGGGGGCCCGACTATCTGTATTCCATAGTTTAAAAGCTCTCATCGATGCTATCAGTTATATTCCACAGTTTAAAAGCTCTCATTGATGTTATTAGAAATTCAAAAACTAAATTTGGCGATAGTTGTTGCAACCCGAAAGCTCAAGTTTTACTTTCAAATGCATGCAGTCATCCTCATGACGTACTATTTTGCCAAATCCAGATGCATGACGATAAAGGAGTAAACCCTGGAAGATGCAAAGTTTTCTAACGAATGTAACAACTCGGCCCAAAAGACATGCCAAGGGTAGAACGAACACTAGAAGGACACACTCGGAAGCAAGTTTTGTCTTCGTCACCCTAAAAGATTCTACATAGGAGCAACATGTACTGGCAGTTGAGTACCACCCCCTGCTGCACACCACATGGCCCTAGCCGACCTTTGCTCAATGATTCAACTCTAGAGTGGCCCAATACCGGTCCGGCAGTTGAGCATCTCCTGCTGCGTGTGACATTGCCCCGTCTCTACAGCTCCCTACTGGGCCTTCACGCCGAGCCTAGGTGACCTAACAGAGCGGCCTAACGATGCCCCGGAAGTAGCCGAGCACACTCTAGCCGCACCTACTTCACCCGAAGGAGACTTCTGGCATTTGCATGTCAATGGCGCATCTAACTACAAAGGTTCAGGAGTAGACATGGTCCTTGTCACCCTAGGTCGTTCGATGCCCAAGCATGCGATCCTTTTAGGTTTCAAAACATCCAACAACAAAGTAGAGTACGAAGCCCTACTAGCAGACTTTCGAATGACAAAAGACTTGGCGATGAAAAAGCTTTCAATTCATTCTGATTCCCAGCTAATCACCAGCCAGACTACTGGGGGGCAAAGGC